GAGCCGAGATCGTGCCACTGCACTCCAGCCTGGGTGACAAAGTGAGACTCTGTCTCAAAAAAAAAAAAAAAAGAAAGACGAAGACTTCAGTGTGCCCTGCAGCTCACAGCCGGATCATTTCCCTTCATCCCTCCAGGGTCCTGGGGCCAGGGGAACATGCAGTCACCTGCTTTGTGCTGAGCTTTGTTCAGCCCCTTATGAAAGTAAAATTACAGAGGAGCTTCTGTCCCCTGCCATCAGTTTGCAGATACACTGGCTGGGGCCCTTTCCTTTGGGGAAACATGGTCTCACCAAGCCCCCCTCCTTTTTTTTTTTTTTTTTTGAGACGGAGTCTTGCTCTGTCGCCCAGGCTGGAGTGCAGTGGTGTGATCTGGGCTCACTGCAAGCTCTGGTTCCTGGGTTCACGCCATTCTCCTGCCTCAGCCTCCCAAGTAGCTGGAACTACAGGCGCCTGCCACCAAGCCTGGCTAATTTTTTGTATTTTTTAGTAGAGACGGGATTTCACCATGTTGGCCAGGCTGGTCTCGAACTCCTGACCTCAAGTGATCCACTCACCTCGGCCTCCCAAAGTGCTGGGATTACAGGCGTGAGCCACCGGGCCCGGCCCGAAGCCCCCTTTTGAAAAGCAGATCATCTGTGGTTAGGCAAATCCTGAGTAGCTTTTAAGAAGCAATGGAAATAACTAATCACATGGGAAATGTTTATTGTACGTCAAGGTTTTTAAAAAAGGTGATTAAAAAACTATGTATGTAGATGTGATTAATTTTGTTTTTTTAAAAATTAAAAGAACATAAGTATAGAAAAAAACGTGGAAGGATGTGAACCTGAATGTTAACCATGACTGCTGCTGGTTGGGGTGGGAGTATAAGTAACGGTAATGACTTCTTTAGTGCTTTTCTCTGTTTCTTGTTTGGGCCATTTCTGCCTCCTGTCCTGGTACTGAGTGCCACCATAAGTACCCACGTGGAGTTAGGGAAGTAAAAAATGGCCAATTCCTTGACCATTTCACTTTTAGTAAAATTTAAAAAATAATAATAAAAACAAAAAAAAAGAAAAGAAAATGGTCAATTCCCTGGTCCCATATTTGCCCAGTAAGACTCTCCCAAGATCCCTTTGCCTTTGTGTTGCCTGATTTCCCCACCCAACAACTTAGGTACCTGTCCCCAGGTCTGGTGTCAGACAGAGCACATATCCCAGCTCCTTCATGCACTAGCTGTGTGGCCTTGCGCAAGTCGCTTAACCTCTCTGATCCTCAGCATCCTCCTTTTAAAATGAGGATTGTCATGATGATCTGGCGGCAGCAACACAGGTAAAGCACTCAGCTCGAAACATTAGGGGCCGTGTCATTTTTGTTTTCATGGCTACAACCGTCCTTCTTCTCCGTTGCAGTCTCCTGACATCGACAACCACCATGCACTCATCGAATATAACGAGGCGGAGTGCAGCTTTGTTCTCCAGGACTTCAATTCCCGCAACGGCACGTTTGTCAACGAGTGTCACATTCAGAACGTGGCTGTGAAGCTCATCCCTGGAGACATCCTGAGATTTGGGTCTGCAGGGCTGACCTATGAACTGGTCGTTGAAAACCCACCTCCGGTGAGTCTGGGCCACTGGGGGATAGAGGGGCCGTGTCACCTTCGTGCAGCCCGGCACTCAGATGCAGCCGTAGGGTGGCGCTCATCCGCAGCGGTGCCACTGTGATCCCAGGCTGCACACAGGCGGTAGCGACAGAGTCGACCCTGTGGAGTTCTGAGTCATTCTGGCGGGTCCCAGGAAGGAGCGAATCTTAGCACCCTCTTCTGGGCATTTCTTGGAGTTGCATCTTGGCTCACATAGAACCAGAGTTTTCCAAAAACGTGCAACTGCCTGAGAGGAGGCAGAAAACAAGGTGCGTTTTTGAAAATGCAGAGATGGATTTCATTTTTAGGCAGATCAGCGCTCTGCTCCTTCCTAGCTCTGTGACCTGGGCCAGACTTCTTCATATGCCCAGGTCTCTGCCTTCTTAACGGCACAAGGCATCGAGAGAATGTCTGTAGAGCCTGAAACTCAGTGTCCAAGTAGACGCTCAACACGTGAGCACCTGAAAAGCCAAGTCTGTGAAGTCCGAGCCAGTGTTACCCTAAACATGTCAGATTATAAGAATTTGAGGGCCGGGCGCGGTGGCTCACGCCTGTAATCCCAGCACTTTGGGAGGCCGAGGCAGGCGGAACACGAGGTCAGGAGATCGAGACCATCCTGGTGAACACAGTGAAACCCCATCTCTACTAAAAATACAAAAAAAGTAGCGGGGCGTGGTGGCGGGCGCCTGTAGTCCCAGCTTCTCGGGAGGCTGAGGCAGGAGAATGGCGTGAACCCGGAAGGCGACAGAGCTTACAGTGAGCGGAGATTGCGTCACTGCACTCCAGTCTGGGAGACAGAGTAAGACTCCGTCTCAAAAAAAAAAAAAAAAAAAAAGGAATTTGAGGGGGACTGTTCAATAAAATTACAGGTTCCCGGGGCCCCTCCATGGAAAATTCTAATTTTGTGACTGCCAGTGGGGGAGGAGGAGGACACACAATATCTGTATTTCTTTTTTTTCATACAGAGATATTTATTGAAGTATTATTTGTAGTGGCATAACATTTTAAACCTAAATGCCCATCAAAAGGGGCATTGTTTAATAAAATATAAGGGATTCATTCTTATGTGGATAACTATGCTGCTTTTTTTTAAAATGCAGCTTTATTGAGGTATAGTTGACATACAATAAAACTGTGCATGTCCAAAGCACATCATTTGCTAGGTTTGGGCACGTGGATATACCTGTGAAGCCATCACCACAACCAAGGCAGTGAGTGTGCTCGTCACACTACAGGGTTCCTCATGAACTTAGCATTTGTTTGATTCTTTGTTTTCAACAGCTTTATAGAAGTATAATTTATGCAGCATAAACCCCGCCCATTTTAAGCATACAGTTCAACACATTTTAGTGTATTTACAGAGGGGTGCAGCCATCACCACAAGCCACTTTCAGAACATCACCATCACCACGTCCTAGAAAGAAACCTGTGAGATACTTGACGTTTTGTGTTGGTTTGTGCAATTTTAAAAAATTTATTATTATAATTTAAGTTCTAGGGTACATGTGCACAACGTGCAGGTTTGTTACATATGGATACATGTGCCATGTTGGTGTGCTGCACCCGTTAACTCATCATTTACATTAGGTAT